TGCACATGGAACAAAGGCCATGTGAGCACACAGTGAGAAGATGCTTATCTACGAGCCGAAGAGAGAGGCCTCAAGAGAATCCAGCCCTGCCAACACCTTGATCTGGAACTTCCAGCCTCCAGACCTGTGAGACAATTAATTTCTGGTGTTTAAATCACCCAGTCTTTAGTATTTTGTTTTGGTGGCCTTAGCAGACTAATATATTTGCTAATGTTGGCTGACTGGGGTTATGGGTGTTCCCTTTAGCAGTAAGTACAATGGACATGATTTTACTACTAGGAGCTGGGACAGTGTGTGTGTGTGTGTGTGTGGTCTAGATCCAGACAGTGTGAGGTCATCTAGGAGCAGCATGAACCAATTAAAAAAAATCATTACTGTTCATTTAGTAGTTCCATGATTGGAACTATTTAGCCTCAATCATTCAAAGAAAATTGAATAGAACCAGAACATAGTATTCCTGCATGTGCTAACTTCCTGTTCCCATGAGAGGCAGGACTGAGGTCCTGCTAGACACAATATCAAAATGCAAATGTCACTGTGCCTCTGCATAGAGTCAGGATCACAGTGAAGCTACATCAAAGAAGAAAGAAGAAGAAAGGAGCTGGAGTGTAAAGGCATCACATAGGGGAGGGACAAGAACACAGACAAAAGACTAGAACTAGTCCAGCCAAATCTAGGCCACCGATTTTAAAACTATCAGGAGAAGGCCTCAAGCGTGTTGAATGGAGTCTGTGTTGGATGCCAGGAAAGGGAGCCTGGGAGTCGGGGCTGGGCTGGTGCAGCAATTAGGAGGGAAAGACAGAATCACATAGCAGAGTTCCAACTTCTTGCCAACCACCCCCAATCCTCAGCCCTATTCATCATTTGTACATATTAGTATTCCACAGAGGTATTTTTAACTGGAAAACGTGAAGCACCCAGTTAGGCTAATCTCACTACATATTCTGGGAAGCAGAAAGCACGACATGGAGAAGGGACAGTCACACATTGCTCCTTCGATAGATGAGGGTGAAGGGACAGGGAAAGAACTCGTGTCTCCTAACTCTCAGTCATCCCATCTCCCCACTGGGACCCTCCTTTCCAGATACACTCACACGTGAAAATGCCACGCACTCTGACCCAGTGCTCGGCCCCCTCAGCCTCACTGGAGACCTCAGCTGTCCTTCCTGTCTGCTCGGATTCTGCCAGGTTTACCCCTATTATTCCAATTTCCACTGTGTCTCCAAATCTACCTCGTAGATTTAAATGTAAAGGCAATACATCAGAGTAATTAAAAGTATTGGCTCTTAACTTCAAACTGGCCTCTTCTCTAAGTCTCTGCTGCCTTAGCTAAATAACAGGGCAAACAACCACCTCTGTCTCCTAAGGTTATTGCACGTCTTACATGAGATATGCACACAGCAGGTGTAGCACAGCTCCGGCACATAGTAAGTGCTTAATATGTGGTTGATTTTCTTATTATAACTTTCACTTCCTACAACAGCCATTATTCTGTACTTGGATTACTGCCCAGCTGTGTGCTGGTTTCCCTCCAGCTAACTGACCCGGGAACTCTTCATCTGAGCCCTGCTCCAATTTAATTCTCTCACCCTGCTCTCACCTTGTAATGGGTCACCTTTCTCTTCCCTGTGGAACCCCAAATCCACTGGGGAAGAAATTAGGGATTCAACACTCTTGAACTTTTCTCTTCTTTTATGTTGTGTTTTTCTTTTTATGTTTTTCATTCTATCCTACTTTCCCTGGAGAGGAGTCACTATCATAGTGATCCTCTCCGACAAGGCCTCAAGCTTTGGGCACTTGCAGGAATATAAGGAGGAACAAATAAACTGCCCTTGGCATCAGATGGATAGGGTGTGTGTGTGTGTGTGTGTGTGTGTGTGTGTGTGTGTCTTTACAGTCATCATCTTTCACTCCCAAAGGACCTCCATACCTTGTGGCTCGCTATGCAGCTTGAAAACTTTCTCTCCATGTGAACAGCTGCCAAACCCCATACAATTCATACCTGAGCATTTGGCCTTTGACCTCACTTTTTAAAATCCAAAGACCTTTCCCTCCACCCATTCTTCAGCTACTTTATCTTTGGATGCACCAAGAGGATTATTATCTCAGCCCCACCCCTGAGAAATTCATCTGACCCTTTGCCTTCTAGCCACAGCCTCCATACACAATTGTTCATATTTCCCACACCTATTAAATTCACACTGAGCCCAATGCTTGACCTCTAAACTCTTAACTGCGCATATCTTGCATAATCCATCAGAATCTTCTTAAGCACTTGACTCTCTTCCAAGCCGACCACAGTCGTGATGGCTCGCCTCAAGTCTCTGATGTACATACTCCCTATTCATAAAACATCTTTTTCCCATTTCTCACTCAGTGTCATACATATTTGGGGAGAAGTATTCAGCATGGTACTGCCAGGGCCTGCTGACATCTAGTGCTGATTTGTCCAGTGGCCATTCATTTTTATATCCCCGCCAACTCTCTGACATGGTCCCAACAATGTCTGTGCCAAGCCTTCTCCATCCTTCTCCAGCTTCCAGACCAACCCAGTCCTTCCACTGCCAGAGTCGACATTGGAACTTAACAGCCGGAGCCACCCTTACCGTGGGTTCCCCTAGATCTTCCTCCCTCTCCCTTTCAGAATGCCTCTGCCTTTACATTCATCTAGTGTTCTCTGTCCCCGGTATCAGAGAGATACCCATTCTCTGTGCTTTTAACCTTCTGTCCTACTTTTCCATACTCCTCTGCTTGGACACCCTCTACCATGTATTTCAATTTCTTCTTCCCTCTGGCTTTAAGATGTGCACAGTCTGTCCTAGACTTTGCTGAAGCTTTAGCTTCTTCCATCCCCCTCCTCCCTTTTACTCTCAAACATCAAAAACAATACTGTAACCGTATCTTTCCACTTCATCCTACACAGCCTTTGACTCCATTCCCACTCTTCTCTGTTAAAATTGCATTTTCAAACTGCACAAAGACTTCTCTTCTTGAAACAATGGCTTTTTCTCGGTATTCATCCTCTTCACACATTCATAGTAATAATAAACATAATTAAGTCATTTTATTAGATCTATTACTTCCCTTCTTTTCCATGACTGAACTCAACACAGTCTTCTCTGTTCATTTGTATCATAATTTTGAGTGAGATTACTTAAATCCTCTCAGCCTCAACTTACTGGTAGAATCAGGGTTGTTATAAAGCTCACATCCCTTACAATTAAGTACCCTATATCAAGCGTTAATTATGATTTTGGTGCTTTGATTCTCTCTCTCTCTCTCTCTCTCTCTCTCACACGCACACGAGATTACATATATATAATCTCATTTAACCCTCAAAACCACTCTGTGAGGTAGCTATTATTTCTCTGTCACAGATGAGAAACTAAAATATCCAGGTCTTAACTTCTACACTCAAAGCCACAATGTCAACATTTATTAAAAAAGATTCCAAATAAAATCCACTGGACTTTATGCTCATACTCTTAACTACTAGATTATATGGCTCCCCAAACAGATGTAAGAATCAAAATTTTAGGGAGTCACTTATTATTAGCTTATAATCTTTTATAGACACTGTGTTTCAGAATGTAGTAAAATAACCCTGTCAGACAGAGCACTAGTGAAGAAGAGTCAATGGCCTTCCCCCAGGTTCTCATTCATACGCCCCTTAGCTCAGTAGACAAACAGCAGGCTCTCGGCCCAAGTGCCTGCACAATGCAGTTTACAAGCTAGTGTCAGGGACCCAAAGCAGAGACTCTAGGCTCATCAGTAGTTATCACCATCACAATTACAATGACATGCACTGCACCTTAGAACAGATTTGGTCCACAAATGTCGCCAGTTATGTGAACTCTACAGTGGCAAGCAATAGTTTCCACTCTTCATGGGATGGAGCTACAGTTCTGGGATAGTTTCTGTGTCATTTGCCAACTATTTTCAGTTCTCCCATGTTTGGTTGTCCAGGGACACGGTACAATCACACTCCATATCCTCTGTGATTGGGCCAGACCATGTGATGGTGAGGGAAAGTGACAGTGGTGTCACTTCTAGGCTGAAATATTAAAATTTTTTTTTATTGATTTTTTTTTTTTTTTTTTAGACAGAGAGGAAGGGAGAGGGAGCTGCCTCCTGCATGCCTCCCACTGGGGATTAGGCCCACAACCTGGGCATGTGCCCTGACCGGGAATCAAACTGGCAACCTCTTGGTGCTTGGGTCGACACTCTACCACTGAGCCACACCGGCTGGGCAGTATTTAATTGCTGAAAAGAGACATCCTGAAGAACACATCTTCACTTAACCCTGATGACAAACAACATTCCAAATAGTGACAATTATATCCATCTGGGACTATCAAAGACAATGCCGCACCATCGGCTGACTACCATACATGTTCAGCTTGATTAAAATATATATATTGTTCTAAGTCACATACATCTTGGGGTTATATGTTACCACAACATAACTAGGTGTTCCTGGTTGCTGCAGGCTCACAGCACATGAATGACTCTCCCAGTATCACACAGCTAGAAAATACCCATGCTCTTCTGCAAACTTCATAAATGCTAAAGTCACTGTTCCTTCCACTAGGTCCCAACTTGCTTCATAGGTTTATTGCCTCAAAAATAAAACAATAGTTTCCCAGAAGCCAAAATATAAACATAAGTATGATCTGTTTAATCTGGATTTAATATCCTTGATTTTTGTGAACTAAAGAAACTGATATTTTCATTTATTTCATAACGAGGCCAAGCGCCTATGCTTAAATTCTTCTAATGCGTGAGGTTTAGAATTTTAACAGCCCCCCCTCTAGGGCAGATAGAAAAATACTTCTCACTGCAAATAACTGATGTGTTGGTCAGATAGCAAGTAGCAATTAAGTGACAAGGACTGCAGCACCACCCAGGGTGTGACAGGGTACTGTTGAGAGTCTCTCAAAGCCAGCATTGATTCCGGATGACCTCATAGGAAAGGTGGAGAATTCAGGCATTGCCTTAAAGACATGACCCCTTCCCTACTGCCGGGCTGACAAGGCTGTTGAGCGAGCCCTGAGCAGCCTGTGCACCGGGCCGCCTCCACCATGAAGATCACAGGGGGCATCCTTCTGCTCTGCACCATGGCCTGCTTCTGCAGCAGCTCAGGTGAGTTAAGGGCAGATAGTATACAACCATTAAGCTTGTTTTTCCAAATAACCTCTCCTGGGAGGTGAGCATCTGAGAGAATTGTCTGGTCATGTGGATTTAAATTAGACTGGTTTAGAATAAAATGCGTACTGGTTTAGAAAAGAAACAGCCCTGGCCTGGGAAGGGCGAATCTTATGTCCCTAATGGCAGTGAGGGGTTTGGGTCTAGTGTCTTCCCCTCCAAGGATTTTTATTTCCATCCGTGGAACAAAGAACTGAACTCATTTCTTCACAAGGACACTGAAAGTCGTTATATACTATTGGATACTAGTCCTCTGCACAAAGATGCAGAGAAACTCGGGTACCTGCCCAGATCAATCCAGGAGGACTGAAATAAAACACAATTCTCCAAAGGCCAGGAGTCAACAATTAAACTTTTTATATGGTTGAAAAAATGAATTAAAATAAGATGCATACACCTTAAAGACATTTTACTACATTCTTTCATATCAATTAGAAGGGGAAGAATATCAGAGATGGTGCTTCAGGGTCTTGGCAATGGTGACTGCAATGCTGTCTATTGCTATCTGAACCATTATCAAAGTCACAGGAGCTCCGGGAAGCATCCCATGGTAAGGAAGGGAGGAAATCTGAGCAATTCTCTTGCCTGAACCAAGGGCTTACCTAATCCACTGGCCATTTGGCTTCCTCAGCAAATAGCTGGAATTTTGCATAAGGATGGAGCATGGGCTGAAACTTCCTGCCAGAGGAAATACAGAGTCTTAATCTATGGGATCAAATTTACATTTATTAATGAGGCTTCAAGACTTTGCTTTATTTTTAACATTTCCATCTGTATCTCTCTTTCAGAAGCTGCTAGTCTGTCTTTAACAACCGTGAGTATATTGAATGACATTTTCATTTCAATTCCTGTTGGCTGTCATTTAGTCAACATATAATTACCAAATATATGTGTAGGATTAAGTCAGTATGTTTAGGGGGTTAAAAGGTGGAGGCAGACGCTGATAAAGAAATCTCTTCTGCTCTTTGGAGAAATAGAACATAAATTACCATAGCCTTAAAATTGATTCCAGAGTTAAAGAAGGGAGAGGACTTGCAGTTGAGAGGCTGGTGAAGTCTTCATGGCGAGGATAACATGTAAGAGGCAGGACCTTGGTTAATTGCACAGGCTCTGGATTCAAATCCCGACCTCACCACTTTCTAGCTTTTATGTTATACAAATTCTATGCCTGGCATAGAAATTCTCAGGACTATTAACTGAATGTATAGTCATAATAGAAGTGGTGCTAGCATGACTAGCACTTGTCATAGTGACAACATTAGTGCTAATTCAGAAGCAGCGACAGCAGCATCAGAATAGCTTTCAGGTGTTTCGCATCCTGTGCAATAGAGGGCGGGGTAGCCTCGCCTGGGGGCCAGGAGCAAGGCAGGACATTTCCTTTGTCTGTCACAGGTGGACTGCAGCATTTACCAGAAGTACCCAGTGGTGGCCATCCCTTGCCCCATCACATATATGCCTGTCTGTGGTTCTGACTACATCACCTACGGGAACGAATGCCACTTGTGCATTGAGATATTGTGAGTACCTCATGGGGGGAAGAAGAAGCTAGGGCCAGTGTCCTCCCCTGAAAATCTGTTCTCTTTCCATGAGCCTGCTTTACCCTCCATGAGCTGCACTTATTTCCAGCCAGAAGCAGCTGACGGGGATAGCAAACTCAGACAGGTTAGGGCCGCCATGTCCGCCAGCTTGGACTGGTTCCAGCCATCACAGAACCTCCAGTTCCTGTCTGTCAATTGAGGAAGTCTAACAAGACCACACGTTTTCAAACTGCGGTGCCAGAGTCCAGAGGTTCTATAGAGGCAAGTCGGAAGTCACCAAAAGCGTGCAGGGGATCATTTTTGGGTGGTCTCCAACTCCAAGTTCAGCTTTTGACTATTTTGAGTAGTGGCGTTCCATACAGTATCTTGCTTGAAGAAAAGGTCCTAAAGCCCCCACAAAGATCACTGAAAACCACTATCCTCCACAACTTCTGAGAGGTCATAACACAGCTTGTTCCTAGACGAACTGTGGCTGGAGGGCCTCTCTCCTCCTCAGTCTCCTAGCGGCTCTCAATAGCTGTAGCCTTAAGAGGGATGTGGGAACAAGGCTACCACAAAGAGATTTTTCTTATATCTGGAACAGGGGATTCAAGCTGTCAGTACTTGGACCTGCATCCCATGGATATGTTTTCTTTACATATTTTATGTGGCCTACACAGTGTTCTTGACACACAGCTAGGGAAACGTCAGTTCTTTGGTGCAGAACAGGCAACTTAGAGTTTACTATTTTACAGCAAGTCCTCTTTGCTCATTGTCAACTCTCTCTTGACCACTGGATCTTAGATCTTGTCTTTTTCATCTTTGTGATTATCTTAACAAGTTCAAATATCAAGTTAGACCCTGAGCCCAGAAGATATGTCTACATATTTATTACTTTATCAAAGGGACGCTTCTCTAACCTGCACACACTGGGCCCTGGGCCTAGAGACCAGCTTGTATTCCAGGACACTGGAGGGGACGTGTGGTGGAAGCACGTCCTCTCCAAAGCACGACCCAGCTCCACTGCAGGCCCTGCTGACCAGGAAAGGCTGAAGGGCCGGCCACTTCAACTTCCCTTGGTGGAATCCCTCCTTCTCTGATGTTTTAAGACATTGGGTAATCAGCCTGGGCCTGGGATCAGTGGAAGCAGCAGGTGGGGTGGAGGTATCACCAGACTAGGGAAATTCTGCTTCTGCCTCTGTCAAAACCGGCCGTGGCAAGGACATTCCTCTTCAGAGACTCCGTGACCTCACCTGCAAAATGAAGGTCTGCCTCAAAATCTCTGGCTCCTTTCAGCTCTACTAGTCTACAAAATGTCCTCTTGTGTTAATGAATCTTGTTAACTGTGTCTCCCCCTAGGAAAAGTAATGGAAATGTTCAGTTTCTTCATGAAGGAAGATGTTAACTCCTCCAGAGAGTGGATACGGAGTGATGATATCCTCAGTGTCATCTTCATTGTCCCCGGGCTCTGACGACCTTCTCCCTCCTCAGAGCAGAAGTTGGGGACGGGGGTGGTGGGGACTAATGTGGAGTCCTCTGTGGAGAAAGTTGTAGTGTCCTTCAGACCCATGCCTAACTAACCTACTGGCTTCGTTTGCACCTCATTAAAAGAATCTCCCCAGAGTTTATCTTTACTTCTGTTTGTATTTGTTTCTTAGGTCAGGATATAATATCTCAGTTTACAAAGAAAACTGAGAAACATATAAATTTGGTTGTTCAGAAGAAAGTTTTGTACACGGAATCCCAATTGGCTCCCAAGAAACATATGCACACACGCAGATGCACACGTGCTCATATATACACGGAATAAGATGGAGTTTAGTTTAGTTAAAGCTCAAACTCTAGAAGGAGAGATAAACATGAATTAGAAAGTAATTATACACTCTAATAAATGCTGGGATATAAGTCTATACTAGGTACCATATTGGAGTAATCTTTCTGTCGTGTACATTTGATTCTACTACTTCTCTGTTCAGAATTCTTCATCTGTTACCCACTGCCCACAGGATAAACTCCAGACTCTTGAGCATGACCCACCCAGCCTCCTCTTCTCCCATCATTTCTGAAGGGCACTGACTCTAACACCCACTTCCCAGGCCCTCTGTGTCTAAATATGCACAGTTTCCTCTGCTGGAAATAAATGGCCTTCACCCTCTGGTTTCCACTTAAGTTTATCCCTTCTGTGAAGCCTTCTCTGAATTTGGTTTGGCAGAGAAGTGGCTGAGGAGTTGGGTTGATTTGTAAACTAGTTCTGTCTTATGCAAGCTATATAACTTTGGGTGGGTACTTAAACCCTGTGCTTGGTGTATGGGGCTGTGATGATGATTCAGTGAAATAACACAAAGCACCTACATGTGACAGATACTCACAATGAATATTAGAGCCTTTGCCTGACGACCCACCGTTTGCTCATCTATTGTTTCACAGGATTTCATATATAATGCTACTTATCACACTGTATTGGTGGTGTGTTCCCTACCCCTATCAGAGTGTAAGCTCTTTGAGGCAAGACTATACATCTTCATATACCTAGTGATTAGTATAATGCTTGATTCATGGTTGGTATTTCATAAACATTACCAAATGGCTATGGGGCCATAGAGGAAGGTGAGTATAATTCTGCCTGGGGTGTTGGGAAGACTCCATTGAATTAGAATTCATCTGAGTATGTGTGGGTTGGGTAGAGACAGATGCAAAGGCAGAGAACTTGAAAAATGCATAGGAATTAATTACTGAATACAGTCTCTCAATTTGTAAAAATATAAAATGAAACCTACCATGTTCATATCTAAAATCAAACTCAGTCTCAGCTGCCTGACTTGCTCCCCCCACAGTATCTCTTACCTCAAGCAAATGGCACCACCATTCAGCAGCTGCTCCAACCAAGAGCATGAAAGGCTCCCATGATTCTTCTCTGTCTCTAACTCCACATCTAATCCATCAGCAGGCCCAGTTAGCTCCATTGTTAAGATATCTGCAAAATCTAATCTCTTTTCACCACTTCCATATCTCCCACCTTAGGTAAAATCTCCATAATCTTGCATGTGGACTATTGCAAACCCCTCCAGATTAGAGCTTTTGGGGGCATTAATAAATCCCTGGCAAAGGTGATAGATACAAGAAAATGAATTTGATATTTTTAGATGTATAATTAGCAAAGACACAGTAATTAAGTGGAAATGTTTAATGAGAGGAAGGTATTTAATTGCATGTAGTTATGCATAGGGTAGTCAGAGTTATAGTTTCTGGGTTGGGTAACCAGGTGACTATTGAGACAAATTCTTTATGCTGAGAGTGTCTTACATATTAAAAGCTTAATCTATTTGTAATACTGGAGTCACTTTTAGTTATGAGAACTTATCAATATCTCTTAGGGAAAAATGTGGATAGAGGCTATTCTCACATTCAATAAAGGAACCCAATGTAGAGTTCCTCCAATGGGACGCTTAAATTGACAAGGTTCTCATTACCTGTAGTCATTATCAAACATCTCTAATCATTACAAAGTTCCTTTTCTTATGCCAGTATTTACTATTTCCAGTAAGGCCACAAAGATACATCACTTGCTTATTTTAAGATGCTTCCTAAGTGCTTTCTGAATGTTTTCTTCTCCAGATTAGTATCATCATCATCATCTTCATTATCATGGTCATTGCCACCAAATACTAACATTTGTTGAGAGCTTACTACATGCCGTGGCAGGCCTTAATAAGTGCTTTACATATACAATCCCATTTAAAACTCAGAACAAGCTTATGATAATAGTATTATTAACTTTATTCTGTAAAATTATTAAAGAAAAATAATTTGACACTTGTAGAATTGGTCAGGAAGACATTATTCAAGGTATAGTCTTGAATGCCCTTATGGCAATACCCCTATCACCATAGGGAGAGAGATTAGACTCAACTTCACATACAAATGGGGATTTATTTCCAAGGAGCAGGATGAGGCGGCCAGTAGGTAGAAAATTACTAATAGGAGATATCGAGGGTAGGAGGATTTTTGCTAAACTAGACTAACAGAATTTTTGCTAAAGGCAGACCAAGGGCTTATATTACAGATTGAGGATGAATAACCTGATCAGACATCAAGGGTGATCAAGTATCAGTGGTAGGGGGATTATTTAGCAGGGTTCTATAAGAGAGGGCTGAGCAGGCCAAAGACGAGGTGCAAAGAGAGGCAGGGGAAAAGGTCAAGACCTAGTCAAGAAGAGAACTCAGAGGAACCTAACTAAAGTTTGCTCAAGGAGAAAGTCTTTGTCAAGTTATGAAGAGGACAGTGGCTAAGTTTCTCAGTAATTGTGGTATGTTCAAGTTGTAATATAGTCTCTAAGACAGAGTAAATGTTCATCAATAATTACAAATGATCAAATGAAGATAAACTAAAGCTTCTAGCAGTTAAATAACTTGTGCAAAGTCATGCAGGGAATGGTAGACCTGGCCATGAATTCACGTCTGCAAGACGCTTAAGAGTTTCAGCTTTCAGTAATATTATGATGCCTGCCCCCACCCCAACCCTGACCATGCCAACACTGGTTTCAGCTGTCTTTATTCTCTTCAAGGGAAACAAAGATGAATTTTAGTCTCCTAGCCTATGGTACTACTTCTATCAAACATGTAGACAGTGTCTTCCAGTTCTATCTACCAAAACTGCAGGCGCTGCTTCCAAGATCTATTCATAGAGTCACTCTATTTGAAAACTGGCACATTCTAAGATGTGTTCTTGTAGCCTTTATCAAAGATTTCAAATGAAGCATGATTTGAAGAAAGCACAATTAAATTTATTTAAACCATGGGCAAAGGATTGGTGGCTTGTCTACTAAAAGTTATTTTATTAGCACCAGACATCACTGGCCATGTATGTGACTATGGCCAAGGGAAAAGTTAGTATCTTATTATTTTTAATCCTCACCCAAGGATATTTTTCCATTGAGTTTCAGATAAAGTGGGAGGGAGGGAGAAACATTTATATGAGAGAGACATACAGATTGATTGTTTTTGCATGACCCTGACCAGGGTTGGGGAACAAACCCACAACCGAGGTATGTGCCCTTGCCCAGGAATCAAACCCATGACCCTCTGATCCATAGGCTGACGCTCTAACTACTTAGCAAACCAGCCAGGGCAGCATCTTATTCTTGAACCTCCAGTCTGTGGAGACCAGAGAAGCATGGCCAAAGCCTCAGGGACAGTCCAGCCACTGCAGCCACTCGTTCCATTCTTGGTTAGGATGGTCATAAAACTTTTTATTGTTGGCCTTGAGGAGGCCCTTCTCCCAAGGGCCTTTGATAAGGAAACTTCTTGCCAGGGATCTAGCAGGTAAATGTGTGGAGTACTTACCAGCTCCACCCATTGTACCAGCTTCTTAAATTTGGGGATTCTTCAGAAAATATCTCCCTGCTAAAGAGTATGAATCATTGTTTGTTTCTGCATAACCAAGACTTGAATATCAATACCTTTTCTCTGTGCCCAGTCCTGTGTCTCAATTGGCAACCTTTTCCATTTGAAGCTAGAGATAGAAGGAGGAAAAGGGGAACCTGGGAATATTTCAACACCTATGAAACTGCCATGCTGATGACTGTCCCTGGCAAAAGTAGTACACCATGCAGTAAAACCAGTGAAATCACTTAACTTTCTTGTAACCTCATCTATAGAGCAAAGAAGATGGCCATAGCTATGTGACAGATTTGTTATGAAGACCAAACTGTGTAGCAGATGTGAAAGCATTCAAACTTCTAAAAACATTGAGAGGTAAGGAAATAATGCCCACTTTATCAGGTCCTAGTATCTACTAAAAAGCCATGTAAAATCCCGTCTTTCGCAATAAAAGAACTCCTATTCCCAGCAGGTGTTTCTGATCTCTTTCCAGGCATCTGATTCCTGCAAATAGCTGTTTCACAACTGAGGCAGGAACTCTTGACAGTATATAAGGCAGCACCCAAGTGGGCTGGGCAGATACCAGAAGGTCACTTCTTGTGCCTCCATCTGACTGCCCTTAGCCTCCTCAGCAGCATGAGAGTGACAGCCTTTGTCCTGTTCTTGGCCCTGGCACTTATCCGTGAGTATCTCCCTCATAACACTGCCCCTGCCTTGATACCAATAGCTCATGTCATCTCCTGCCCACGTAATTCTGGGATATGCACCTCACATAAAGGATGAGGGAAGCTTTTGGAAAGGCTTTTTTTTTTTTTTTTTTTTGGTCTCCACCAGCAAATCACTAAATCATATCATCCCAGGCACTGAGTGGACCTAAATGGTCAACTAAGGCTAAATGCTTATCCATACACTTTGTGTAACGTTTTTGGAAAGTGTTCATCCAGATTCTGCTCTGAGTTGATATTATTTATAGGGACTAACTTCTTCATAAGGCAGCTCAACCATTGTTGGGCAGCAGGAACTGCTACTTCCCTTCCACTATTGAGTTAAAATCGGACTCCCCAGAATTTTCAACCCCTGCCCTCTGCCTGCTACGAAAGAGCAAACACCTTCCTAAAGATGGAACTCCTTTGTTTTTTATACTATTTCCTAAGCTCTGGTTGAGGTAGGAAAGAATAAGATAAGTTCCTCCTTATTATAACAGCTTTTCCATCCTTTAGGCCACACTCTAATCCTGCTCCCCCGCCAAAAAAAAAGTGTTTTGAGCGTCAACCTTTGATACGCTGTTACAAAAATTCTGAAGATAATCTTATATTTTTAAAGACAGTTTGAGAAAGCTGAAACATAAATCAGAGATTGTCTAATGAGATTAAGTTCTTCCAGAGATTAATTTTTTCTTGTACTTGTTTTTCTACAGATACAGAATGTGCCCAGCATGGTCAGCAGGTCAGTACCTCTATTTTGATATGGAAGTTCAACTTTTATGTAATTTTAAAGCCAGTGTCAGTAAAGAAAGTTTTGACACTGTACATAATTAAATTTCTACCTATTTGAAGATTTTTCTTTTTTAAGTTTCAAAACTGCTTTTATTCAAAAACTGTAGACAGTCCTTTCTAAAATAGAGGTGATGGAAGACAATGGCTAGACACCCAGCATCAGAGTTATAAAGTCCTGGGTCTCACCTCCAGCTCTTTGATTGGGTGGCCGGCCACAGTGCTGGCCTCATAGGACCCTTGAAACACTTAGAGTCATAATGGTTGGAGGGTTAGCACAGGACCCGCCCATAGTAATGCTTAGTAAGGACAAGTCCTAACTCATCATTTTAAAATGGCCCACATGTATCTTTGTTCTCTATATCAAAGAAAGAAGATTTTAATTTAAGCTTTCCTTCGTGGCTCACATCAAGTAATGACTGTCGCTGAGAAAATCTAGGTGTGGCAGTGACAACTTTGAACCAGCAGTCAGGCACTCTGGGTTCTAGTCCAAGCTCTACAGCTTTCTGGCTGTGTGACCCTGTGGTCTAGGCAGCTCCTCTCACCCCTTTGAGCCTTTTGTTTTAACTTATTAAAGGAAATAATGTTAAGAACAGACATTTTGGAGTCAGACAGGCCTGAATTCAAGCCTCCTTCACGATTTAGTAGTTGGGTGAGAATGAAAAGGGTGAACGAGTATTAAGGCTTGGTCAGTTCCTGTCACATTTTGAGTCTGACATCAATTCTGGCTCGGGGGTTTAGCAGGCAGGGAGAGGAAGTGAAGTCATGCCGGCATACCCTCAGCATGGGGCTCACAATTTCTGTTCTACGCCACTGGCCTCTGAGATCCCTCTGCCGATATGTCGTGCTCACTAATTTTCGCATTGCCGGCACTCAGTTCAGCCCTAAGTCTAGGGCTCAGTAATGGAAGGAACGGCTAAGTTGTTTTGTTTTGTTTTTATCCTCACCCGAGGACATTTTTTCCATTTTTTGTTCAGATGAAGTGGGAGGAAGAGAGAGAGAGAGAGAGAGAGAGAGAGAGAGAGAAAAACATCAACGTGAAAGGGATGTATCGAGTAGCCGCCTCCCACACAACCCAACCAGGGCGGGGACAAACTGCAACCGAGGTACTTGCCCCTAGCAGGAACCGAACCTGGATCTTTCTGGACTGCAAACCGGTCGGGGCAGGAACGACTAAGTTAACGACTAGAACATATCTGAAGGGGAGGAGGAATTCACCTTTAACTTTGAGCATATTTCAGGTTATCCAAGTAGAAATACTCAACAATTGGTCAAATATCATGTCTGGAACCCTCAGACAGAAAGAGCTGGAAATGGAGTCTTCTGCATGGAACTGGAGTTTGTGCAGACCTGGGTGTGAAGCCAAGGGACACAAACTATCACTATTATTTATTCAGCACTTTCCATGCTGTGTAGTGCTCAGCATTTTACACACATCTTCTTGGTTATGTATTTATTAATTTAATCTGGCAATGTAGGTGTATCATCTTCATTTTGCAGATAAATAAAATAAGGCTTAGCCCTGGTCGGGTTTCTTAATGGTTAGAGTGTCAGCCTGCAGACTAAATGGTCTTGAGTTCAATTTTAGTCAAGGGCATATACCTGGTTTGAAGATTTGCTCCCCAGCCCCTGGTGGGGGTCATGCAGGAAGCAAATCAGTGTGACTCTCTCACATTGATGTCTCTCTCTCTCTCTCTCTCTCTCTCTCTCTGTCTCCCTCTTTCCCTCCCCCCCTCTCACCTTCCCTCCCTCCCTCCCAGTCTCTCTAAAAAAAAAATCAATGGAAAAAAAACCCTCAAGTGAGAATTAACAAAAATAAATAAATAAACAAACAAACAAACTAAAGCTTAGAGAGGTGAAATAATTCTTGTGGGGTCGTAGAGTCAAAATTTGAATTCCAATGTGTTTGACTTTACTATCCACACTCTTTAATTTGCTCATAGATGGAAATCCCAGAACATTCTTGCTTGGTAATTGTCTACTTGCTCCCACAAGTGGCTCATCACTTTGGCTTTGCTCCAAGGAATTTCGAACAGTGGTTCTCAACTACAATGTTAACATACATCTGTCTGTCTATGTGCTGATGATGTGTATAACACGTCATTTGTTACCAATAATTCAAAGTTGCCAATGATGTACTAGTTATTAAAACGACAATATTTATTTCTGTAATACATCTCACACTTGTATTCAGATAGAACTTTTAAAGTGAAAGAGAGAAAGCAGGGAGCCGAACGTGCCATGGGCATTGAGAACTGACGCATCAGCCAGTACTAACTATAGTGGGATGGATTCTATATTTAAATAAATTGTGATTTAGTTACCAGCTACCACAAAGAAATTTATCACTCATGATTTTATATCTGATATAAATATTTCTATACTTGATATATTTCAAAGAGGTTAGATAATTAGAATAAAAAAATTAGCCCCGCCTGTGTGGCTCAGTGGTTGAGCATCAACCCATGCACCAAGAGGTCACTGGTTTGATTCCTGGTCAGGGCACATGCCCAGGTTGTGGGTCAAACCCCCAGTGGGGGGCATGCAGGAGGCAGCCAGTCAATGTTCTCTCTTATTGATGTTTCTATCTCGCTCTCCATTCCTCTCTTTCTAAAATCAATAAAGAAAACATATTTTAAAACAATTAATGCATTGGGAGCCTTCTAAACTTGCTTGGAAAATTCTAAATCCTGGGAATAAAGATTTGGTTCAAGGGATTGAAGGTTTTTAATATGTATTTTCAGGTTGATTGCAGTAAGTTTAAAAAGTTACCACCAGGAAAAGAGAGACCGTGTTATGAAATATATCAACCAATTTGTGGATCTGATGGCAAAACTTATGCCAATGATTGCTTCTTTTGTTCTGAAGTTGAGTAAGTATTGATGTATTTTTCTTTTCTATATTTAAAGTGAAATAATTCTGTGGTAAGACAAATGTATCTCATTTCAAAGAAGTGGTTTAAGGCATAAGGAATATGTGGATCATCTCACATTGATTCTGATGAACAGAATTCTCACAATTTGTAGAATTTGGAGTCCCTAGTGTCATTGTATCCTACACATTCTAGTAGTAAAAAGCAAACAGAGAAGCCTAGAAGCTCTGAATTGGAATGAAACTTAAAGGTCACCTAGTTCAACTTCTAACTACTAATTTATTGCTTAAATTTTCTCTCAAAAAAGTCACCAAGTCATCTTGCAGTCTATGCTTAATTATTTCCAGGGACAAGGAACATCCTTCCTCCTAGGCATGCCAGTCTGCATCTGTTAGAATGAGCCTGTTTATTACTCAGCTTCAACTAAGTGTGAACATACTGAAGCCCCCTAATGACTGACACAAAAGGGGAACAATATCTGAAAAACCTAAAGAACTTGTTCTGTTTCAGTGTAGGATTTCTCCACTAAATATAAATATAAATATAAATATAAATATAAATATAAATATAAATATAAACATAAAATATTGGAGTGCTAACAAAAACAAATAGCCAACAGTAGTTTAAAGGTTACAAAGTAATCTTCTGCAAGATATATTAGCATCAGCCCCCCCCGAAATAAAATAATGAATTATGTGCTAGAATGTGTAGAAACATAATAGTTGCTCTTAACTATTTTCAAAATATACATGAATGAAAACAAAACATCTAATATATACGGCACATTATTCTTGTTTTTTTAATAAGATAAAAGTTACAATCTTATGATAGGAGGCATCTAAATATGCATCCCCTTTAAATTAAAAAATCCATTGAAATATGATTGCAGGGAATAAACTGTGTTGTGTTTGAAGCACGGTCCTTATGTAACCAGCACCAGTTGCTAAAATAGTTGTAAATTGCAGTCACTCCTCTTAATCAGAAAGTGAAGTGACATGGGTACATTTTGGGGGTTCAGTGGTGAAGTTTGGATGCTAATAAAATGCCTATGGCTTCAACAATTCTCATTTGTTACTCTTTCCTCTCCATAGGAAAACTGGCAACAAACTTAAATTTGTACATCGTGGACAATGTTGAATCTATCTTGTGATTCCATTCACAAGAGACACATTTCTTCTCCCATATAATCTTGCCACCATTATGTCTTGATTTCTTTGTAGAATAAAGGAGACCTAAGTGAAATAAACTTATCTGACTTTTCTTGCTTAAGAGTTGAATCTTACTGATTTGTTTACATTTGGGTGATGTCTAATAGACGATCTTAGGGCCACAATGGGGGAGGAAAGGCCAAGTAAGACTGGTAGTGGGAATCAGAAAATCAAAGGACCTAAGCTGACGCCTTCTCCTTTCTCAAGCTAGGAAAATGCCCAGTGTGCATTACTTGGTTCTGAAAAGCAAACAGCTAAAGAGGGTGTTCAATTAATGCTTTATAAATAAACTAAATTAGGATGAATTGGTTTTGACTTCTTTCAACAAGTAAGCAAGGAAATTATAGTGTGTAATCCCATATAATTATAAAGTCAGATGTCAACTCCTGACCCAGCTATGGAATTTGTAAGTATTGTAGCCTTCTGATGCACAGCATTCTGCTTACTTTCAAACTCTGAATTGCTTCTAGTTTCCCCTAAAACGAATCCACAGACACACAGAGAGAAATTAATGCTTTTCTAGAGATTGTAGGGGAGTAACCGAGATGGCAGTTACCTTGTACACCCACGGCCTAAAACTCTTCATTACATTCCTACCCTCTACACTCAGCTCTTACACCACCACCTTGCAAATATTTGTCATTTGTAACATGAAAAGAAAATTGCCATAAACATTTAAGGATGCAAGAATAAAATAACATAAAAACAATTTAATACATTGCCAAAATGTGTTACTAGAAGTGAAGCCTACTCAAATTCTAAGAAATCTCACTGTGTCCTTTTAAATTAGTTCTGCATCATATTTAAGCATAGCAGCAGGCATTACCACATCCAACAAACCAGTTGGATCAGGTAACTTATGAAACAGGTAACTCCCTTCAGTCTCAGAGAACAAAGCTAAACTGAAACATTGTCTTTGGAATTTCAATTAACAATAAGAGTACAGATCAAGGAAATGGATGTCAGTTCTATAAATATATGTCTTGTAACAAAATGCATCCCCCTGAAAGCATCCTGAAAACTTTTCAGAATTTCTTTAAAAAACCCACACTGAGTCAATATAAAATGAAGCTTTTTTTTTTTTTTAGAGTGCCTGCTTAAACACTGGAAAAAAACGACTAGGGTTCTGAAAGGTGCTTCTGGAGAGTCAGGAAAGGATCCTATCATCCCAGTTGCTTGTTTCCTGGGACATGCAGCATTTACTGCTCAAAAATAGGCTCAAGTTTAAAACCTGGGCGGGGCCCAGCCTTGCAAGACCTGTGTGACTCAACAAAGAGGAAGCTTGGGTTGGGGGTTTCATTCACCAGGAGCCTGCTCCTGAATCTCCCCCACACGCCCGAGCCCACAGTCCTGACCATGGCTGCCTCTCCAGCGTGAGGGCCCTAACCTCCCTAACCTCGCCCAGTGACCAGACCTCTGGTTCTCCGTGCGTGCGTCTAGGTTGTGCTGATCGCTTCCTTCCTCCTCTCCACTTTACCTCTCCTGGAAATGGAGCCCAGCGGCAGACACCCAAAACTATTTGCAGACTTCTGTTGTGGCACTCACCTCCCTGGTCACCCTATCTCTGTTTTGGCTGCCTGCCTGGAATTCAGATTCCAGTTTTTCTTATTTCTTTTTGAGGCCCACAGATTGTCTGAATTACCATAGGTTTGCTGCAACATCCTGTAGATATTAACATGTCCACACTGCCAGACTGCAATTATTTGGTTACAATATAAATAACTGAGATATACAACCATTGGTTAAGATGGTGATCATTTTACAATATATACAACTACCCAATCATTATGCTGCACATAGAAATCTAATCTGTTACATGTCAGTTATACCTGAATTTTTTAAAAGTGCACTAAAAGAAAAAGCGTAAGGGTGGGGGGAAGATGGTATGTCGGAGATAGAGAACCCTGGGATCAAATCTGTATTTGCCACTTCTGAGTAACCTGGAATTAGTCGTTTAACCTGAATTTCAGTTCCTGAATTTAAAAATGAGGGCAAAAGCCCGGCCAGTGTGGCTTAGTGGTTGAGTGTCGGCCCATGCACCAAGAGGTCACCGGTTCGATTCCTGGTCAGGGCACATGCCCAGATTGTGGGCTAAATCCCACAACGGGGAGCATGCAGGAGGCAGCCAGTCGATGTTCTCTCTCATTGATGTTTCTATCTCTCTCTCCCTCTCCCTTCCTCTCTCTCTAAAATCAATAAAGAAAAAAATAAAAATAGGGGCAACAGCAGATCCTATGGACTGGCATGGACCAATGTACATACAGTACATACTATTGGGGCCTGGCACATAATTGGCAAACAATAAATGAATGATTTAAAACATAAAAACAGCAAAATTCTGTGGTTGTCCTAAATTTGTCCCTTAAGCACAATGAATGTTTCTAATTTAGCTTCTGGCTGCTCATGGTCTCCTCCCCAGCCCATCATGCCTGCCTGACCCCTGCCTGACCATGTCCTGAGAGACAGCACCGTGAACCTTCTGTTAGAGCACATGGTCACTGTTACAGCCACAGACTTCTGCCATGTGAAAGTTCCCATGAAGGGCAAGGCACAAAAATTAAAGGCATCTAGAATATTCATGGTAGGGTACATAATAAGCACTCAATAAACACTATTATTATTGCTTAAAAATATAAAACACAGCCCTGGCTGGTTTTGTTCAGTGGTTAGAGCATCGGCCTGCAGACCAAAGGGTCTCGGGTTCGAGTCTCAGTCAAGGGCACATATCTGGGCTGCAGGTTCGATCCCTAGCCCTGCTCAGGGTCATGCAGGAGGTAATCAATTGATGTGTCTCTCTCACATCAATGTTTCTCTCTCTTTCTCTCCCTCCCTCCTTCCCTGCCACTCTATCTAAAAAATAATAATAATAATCAATGGAAAAATATCCTTGGGTGAGGAATAACTATATATATCTCTCACTGATGGCAACAATCTTCACACTCAGCGAGGGATTGCCTTTGCAGGAGTCCTACCAGACAGTCATGCAGCTTCTCTTGGACTCTGAGGAGGAGCTCACCCCTTCCTGGGCAGTCATTAATGGGAACTCTTACTGCCAAAACTTATCAAGCTTCGATTTTCTCCATAGTATTTACTCCCTCATTTGTCCCAAACACAGCCCTTGAGCCACAAAGAAAAAGTCTAATTGAGAACATTTTTTTTTTTTTTTAACAAATATCTTTTTATTGCAGACATTTCAGGCACAGGTACATGGAAGAAGCTGTATTGCAGATTTTTATACAGGGTGGTTTAAGAGGCAGCAAGCACCTACCTTTCTCCGCCACCTCCCAAATACGTAGCAGTCTAGATCAGTATCAGTCCCACTGAAATCTCCTGGACATTCTATCCTTTCAAACACACCATCTATCGCTGTGCCCAGTATAGCTAGGCCACCTCTAGGGGTCTAAGGAAGTCCTTGGCCTTGATCCATAGTAGAGGGAAAAGGAGTAAAGAAGGTCAGGCATAGCTCTGGCGCCTTCACCATCCCTAATACTTTCAGTAATTTTAAGATAGTTCTTGTGTACCTCCTGAATTTTCTGACGTTAGTTAAAGAAAACCTTAGATCAGGTCCTATACTAAATGGTGATCTCATTACATTCACAAGTCCAGTAATACATTTATCTAAATATAAATGAGGGTGTTTTTCTTACCTACCATGGCAAATCTAGCATCTAAATTTAGTTATGGAAACTCACAGGCATTCCAAAAACAGTAAACGTTAATGAATGAACCTGCTTTTTTTCCTCACTTAAGAGAAACAAGGTTTAGTGAGACAGAATTGCTGTCCAACATGAAGAGGACATGGTGGAGCTATGATTGATAAAGCCCTCTTTGGCTCTAGAGCTCAAGCTCTGAAACCCTGTAGCACATGTTCCCTAGGCAACGTCACAGTCCCTATCCCCAGAGCAGCTCACCTGGACAGATGCTGGCTGTCTTTATTCACTTACAGGGATCAATGTGAGTTCTCTGTTGCACAGCCTTTCCAGGCCATGGCCACTATGTCCACTAGTGTTCAAGCGAATGCCTTCTAGCCCATGAACTCAAAAGGCAAGAGGAGCTGCCAGTGATTTTGTCATAGATCCATGGAATTGCTCTTGGCAGTTGTCATTTTGCAGTCAAGAGTCCCTATAGCATTTAGCAAACATGAAGAATATTTTTGAAATAACTGATTCAAAATAAGTTACTTCCTAATATTTGGCATAATGAGAAGTGCCAACAGTGCCCTTGCTTTGGACATTGGCAGGGCGGTTGATGACATCGTAGTTAAGTATGCCTCTGGACACTAAATGCAATGTGGGTCTCTGGCTCTTGATCCATCAAACTGTACTTGGATTCTTAGGGTTAGTCTTACTTGGAGACAAAGCAATCACAGGCCAAAGCATCAGGAGGCAGCCCAGCTTCTGCATCATTAAACTTTTTTTTTTTTTTAATTCTTAAGATAGCCACATGGACCCTCATTCTTGTGCTTGAGGATACCAGTGGTCTTACCCTCAGCAAACTGGAATAACAGAGAACAGGTATATTCCCAATGGAAGTCTAGCTAGCTCTCTCCCTAGCTCCACTTTCACCACAAAATTTGGGGCTCTCCAGAAAGCCATGCTCTACTCGAGAGCATAGATCACTGCTTAAACTTTGTCAACTAAGATCAGTGAAATGGACTCCTGTTTTGTGTGAGTCGCAGGTTCGATTCTGATCAAGGGCATGTACCTCGTTTGCGGTTCGTCCCCAGCCCTGGTCAGGGTCATGCGGGAGGCAACCAGTCAATGTGTCCCTCTTATGTTGATATTTCTCTCTCCTTCCCACTCTATCTGAAGATAAATAGAAAAATATCCTCAAGTGAGGATTTAAAAAAATAATACTAGTTCTGATATCGTAGGCAACTTCTCTAAGACCCATTTCCTCCTCTGTAAATTGGCGATGATGGTAATACCCAACTCAGACTTA